TAAAGCAACTGTAGGGAGATCATTTTGATAAACAAGTATGTTTCTGTTTTCCCCAAAACTCAGATTTTCTATTGATGACTAATAGTCTGGCAAAAAGTCTTTGCTCGGAAAAGAGATACTTCAAATATCCCACCCCAAATACGAAAGCAATCTTTTGAAATTTCCCAACACATTACATGAGTTCGGCTAAGATGTGCCTGATCCCTTGTGGAAGCTGAGAAAACGATTACGTAAGCGAAAGAGGTAGTGAAGTACTCTAAGTTTTGTGTAAAAAAGAGTGTTGGTACGTGTAAAGGATTACCTGGTTGATAGACATGTAGTCAAGCAAATTACTCTACTAAACAAACAGAGGAGAAAACTGATAAAGAATTCGGACACGAATGGACTGTAGAAATCACTCTAGATCACACTGCATCCGTTCGAAGAGCATCTAGTTGAAGCATTAGAAACAACACCTTGAACAGAGATCTAAATCCTGCGTAAAAAATTGAGGAGGTGTCATTCCAAAAATCAAAGAGTGGACTTAAGAGGAATATATCGTAATCACCCGTGACGTCGCTCTATAACTTAGGCTGATTTTTGTGATCAGAGCCAGACAGGCTCCCATCCCATGCGAAACTCGATGCGACTTGTCCCTAATGAATAATTGAAAGACTCAGAAGAGCACAATGGTAAGTGTTGAGAAGGTGTTTTCTCGATTAACTAAATTTCTTCAACACGTTTTTCTGCATAGGTTTTGAAAGAGCGTTCTAGTCGACTGTTTTTGAAACTCTCCGTTAACTTCGATATATTCTGATGAATGTTTAGCCTTCTTTATATTTGTTATGTCAGGGGCGTAGGAACGTTTTGACGACTTCGTTCGGCTCGTCAGTGCTACAAGCCCCTTCAGCCACCCTCTATAGTAGGAATAGAGAAGCAATTTTTCACTTTGCCTTACACACCCCGTGTCTTCCCGTATGCCACTGACATAGCGACCCTCAAAAAAGCCAAAAAGTATATCAGAATAGATTACAAAATGTTTGATTGAGTAGGCTGTGAGTCAATTCAAAATTTCAAGGCTCTGATGAAGCTAAATCGCCAAAAGCTGATATTCTTTCACTTTATTTCACTCAGCAATCTCACTGTTAACAACCTTGGTCTGCTCACCAAGAAAACACGAGTTGTAAGTCTTTACTTGAATGGTAGATCCGCCTTCACTGGCAACACGGACCCCAGCTGACAATACCCATTCTCTTCCTTCTCAACAATCATCATTTGTGGTAGTGTTTGATACCAAAAGAGTGACAACCGCAACGCCGATTCTCAAGTTCCAAATGTTCCCATCTGTGAGTGCAATGGTTGACGTCGGCCACCTGCATTCTGCAATCGATCTATATTGTCTTGCTTTTCGAAAAAAAGGTAAATTTAGAAAATCCGAACTGCACACTGTGGCAAAACGATGTGAATGCAGACTACATTTTGAAAGATAGTTGCACCCATTATGTGAATGGCCCACTAGTCTTTGACGTGGCTAAAGCATCAGTTAAGCTCTCAGCTAGGAGAACAGAGCGCTAGGGGAACTACAGAATCAAAAAGATGGGCTGCATTTCTAGGCCTTCTAGGTGGTCGCTAAAATCTTCTAAATGAACGAAATGCACCCTATGCCGCTCTCGTTCTTTCTACAAATCCCCGTTCGTGCTGATTTCCATATTTCTTTAAGGACCGACTATCTCTCAACCTCGGTATGGACTGTAAACAGTGGATTTCTATATATATATATATATATATATATATATATCGTACGTTTGAGATAAACGTATGAAGTGGTTTCCCTGCTCAGGCAACCATGCAGTTTGATTTTCCTGACTTCACGTTACACTTTTTTATGGACTGGGTCTCCATCTTGTTTTCACTCGGTCCAATCTTTTCTCCGCTTCATTGAGCTCGTCTAAATAGCCTTTGCCTTGCTGATTCACTTTTAAAGATTACGAATCCTGTGGCAAAACAAGAATCTATTAGGAATTATTATCAAAACGTAGCCGTTCTCGTTTTAGCGAAAAACTTCATTATGCACCACGACGTGGCCATGAACAGTTTCACGTTATTGTATCGCTCTGTTAAAATCCTTATCCTGTCGTACATAAGAGTGTATGGATATTCCCACAGAGCCATCTACATATCGAATTTTTTTCGGGAAAATAGCCCTGTCTGAGTTTCCTGATCGAAAATTCAACTTTTCAAAGTATGTCTCTTTGCAGCAGTGTGATCCCTTGCATCTCAGGAAGCAACATTTAGAAGAACAATTGTCATGAAAGGCAGAGAAGCTGTACAGAAGAAGAACTGCTCAGTTAAGACTTATGCAACGACGCGATATCTATAGGAATCGTATGTGGAGGACGTTTTGACCACTGAATCTTCCATAGATGTTAGAGGGAGTACGATTGTTTCCTATTCAAGTAATAATGTAATTTCATCATATGAAAAAAGGTGAAAAATATACATAGGCGTTGATTGAGCTTTGATGAATGCGTCATGCATTCAAACAAGCAACTTGCAAAACATTTTTTCTCTGTCACTCTAAAGTGCAACGAACCGCCGCCGAATTCAAGTGTTGGTGTCTGTGTGACAATAGCCACCATAGCATCCACCTCATGTGCCCCTTCCGTCAGTGGAAATGTAATAGTTTGCTACCGTTCCCATCGCCAACGGCCCCTGTAACGGAATGAACACACTGATTCAAGAATACGATTTTTGCTTTTGTGGTATGTAAGCTATCAATTTCATTGCGAGCACGGTGCTGGATGAACCCGTCTCAGGTTCACCAAGCTTTTTATCATTTTGAGCCCGGGAAATCGTACAAGATCTAGCTGGAAGAAGTACAGTTTATGTAATTAAGACGGGAACGCTTTGATTAGGCTATTCTAAAGCTTCAAGAAATATTCGCTCGACAAGCATTCTATCATTCATAGAGATGAAATTCTGAAGCAGCGTCTAGACACACGTAAAATGTCCGAAGATTTGCACGGATGCCGAATGAGAAGGAACAAGTCCATTACAAGTGTCAGGATCCGCACTGTGAATGTCACGAGCGGTCATGTAAAATTTAAAAAATATAATTAGAGCTGTCGAGAGAGTATTTATTCATATATTTATTTATTTTAGGTGTTCTGTTATCACAATTCACTCTGCGAATCTCAGCACTTCTTACATTCAATTCGCTACCTCGCGTGCATCCTCCACAAGGACCTTCGAGCATTTCACATGTTGCTTCGAGCGCTGCTTGAGGTTTTCATTAGTTTATGAATGACATAATATGTTAGTCGAGTCGATTCTCTGTTCAATCTCGGAGGTAGCCGAGCTAAGATAAACGTCCTAAGCGCTTGTTTGATTGATTGGAACAGTATTGAAGGAGGCGATCAGACCAGCATCTTCTTGATCACTTTCCTTACTAACACACCGCACCACTAATCATTGCGCTACTCCGCCGCCATCGTTTGTACAGCTGGAGGAGAATACTTCGTGGTGAAATAATTAACACAAATTGAGTGAATCAAATGTGATTCGCACCGGCCACTCCGCCACTTATCGTATGAGCCAAAACTCTAATTTTTCGAAGAAAAAAAAATAACAAATACAGTCTGTGAGAATGTTTAAAGCTTTGCCGAGGTTGTTACTTCAAAGCCATATGTACGTTTCGGCGGTGTCGCCCGCTTCATCAGTGGCCTCCGCCCCGCATTGAACCCTACTTTATAAAAGGGATGGGGAGACGTCGTTTATAGTGATAGCACGTGATCTTGTGTTATCACCATTTTTTCAATCTGTGGTTCCCTGCTGGTAGTGGGAATTGGGTAGATCCATCTCATCAACTATTTTAAAATCTCGCTATAAACATTCAGTATCATCTGTGAGAAGGATATAAAATGTTTTGAACCATTAGGTCTAAGTGAATACAGGCGCCTCTTTCGTCTATAGGGACTTCTCAGTAGCACCGTCCTCGTTTCAGCCGTTTTCTCAGGCTAGCTAGTCCTCTGAGGAGGAATCGACGCCAAGCAATATATCACCGCAGTCAGATGATGGACTTACCTGACATTGAGCAAGGTTCACAAAAAAAATCGATCGAATGGAGAAATATAATCTGTGAGAAAGTTTGAAGCCTCACCGGGGTTGTTACGCCAGAGTTATACGTACGTTTCGGCGATGTTGCCCGTTTCAAAAAACAAAACAAACAAAACAAAATTTCAACTTTGTTGCATTTGAGGTAATCGCGCACGGCAACGACTTTTGGACGTCGGCGCATTTTGCAATATGAAATCCCATTCATTCCCTCTGAACGCTTTCACTCTTCGAAGAGCTTTGGCGAAAAAATCCGATCTATCAAGCCATGGAAAACCAGAATTCCATAACAATATCGTAATAGGACGAAAGCGCTATTAGCGTAGCGGTTAGAGGTGCTCTGCGTTGCACACAAGGTCAATGGTTCGATCTTGCGTTCATGGCTCACCAAGCCATCCCCAGGGCCGGTAAAATGGTACCGGACTGGTCTCAGACTTGTCTGGAATGATAAGCAGCACTGACTCGGTTCAGCGGAAGGCCACCGCGAATCATTGTAAAGGCCAGATATGCATTCAATCACCTCAAACGAAGCTAAAAATTGAAGTCGAATGCATGGCGCATCCCTCACGGGCTGACGAACGCCCAGACCTATTTATCTGTTTAGCTTTTATCATAACAGGACAAGACCCACTCCTGACCCCAGCCACGACCCTTCTGTGAGTGAAGGAGGACGGGTTTCGGCTCTGGGCGGGGGCTCCGACATCTCACGTGTACGAGTTTTCACTGCGCGCGCAAAAACGTCGTTTTGAAGCGTAACCGCTGCTTTCAACTGACCTCGGCTTTAGGTTCAGTCTATTTTTTTCCAATATTTTACTGTGTTCCTTTTCTATATACTTTAATATCTTATTATTTAGCATTGAGATTACTTACTTAGATACCCAGTAATGAAGAGTGATTTGCAAAACATGCGCGTCAGGCGGCAATCGAACCCGCACCTCACTCTTTTCGGGAGCGCGTGCACTATCCGTTACACTACTGACGCCCATTTTGTACATTGCTCTTTCTACACTTCAGCGCATCTATCTGTGTTCGAGTCCCGCCTGACGCGAAAGTTTCGTACATCACTCTTTGTTAGTGGGTATATGTATGAAGTCTTACCACCGCTCGCTTTTTGATAAAAACAGTTTTATAAACCAGATGATGTAGAATGGTGTGCAAAAACCTTTGCGTCAGCCGGGATTTGAACTCGGATCTTACTCTTTTCAAAGCAATAGTCCTTCAAGTAAAATGATTTCGGATTGATTACTAAAAACAATTCTTTTACTTATATACTTGGGCGACCCTCTTTTACTATTAGTGCGAGTGCCAGCACGGGGAGATTGTGCCGGTTCAGAGTTGTATTGTTTCCTTGGAGGTCCGGGATAAACCTAGCCGGGGTTTCCTTTGGCCCTCATCACACTAGAGCAGTAGCCGGCCTTTTAGATCAGGTGGGAGGGGGTGGGGGATTACCACTTTGCGACTAGTAGCTACCAAGACGGCGATCATTCCTGGAACGTTTTCTCCTCTTAACTAGTTTCCATCTCAGCTTTTCATCCTTCGGGGGGTTTAACACCCGTTGTACTGCGCAGTCCGACACCCATCAACACCTCCTAGCCACGATGCGGCGGTAAACCACCTGGGAGGAACGTTATGATTAATAGTTGAATATATAATAATTGGCATTTATTACAGTTCATCGCTCCGTCTTCACAGTGTTTTTTTTCTCTGTGCGGATGCCAGTTCTTCTAGCACTCAGTTCATTTGGTCGTATTCTTTTTGAACGTCATAGAATACTGGTTGAGCGAGTCTCCCTTGCGATCTCGACGATCGCCTGGCTCTGACGTTCCATAAGGCTTTTTGTTCACTGCGGGAGAGAGTTGGGGGTGGAGCTCGCCTCCACGCGCGCCGCAACGAGCATCACAACCATTCGGCCACGGCGCTCCTTGTGATAATTAAGTATATTACAAATATTTTTATCAACATCCTCGTGCTACAGACTTGATCACTGCGAAGAAAATGTGATCGCCTGATTATCCCGAGGTTAAGGTAGTATAGATCAGTAAAGGACCCTCGGAATTTTTGTGTTCATACGTCGTCGAAGCCTCAGCATCTCATCGAATTCCTTCCTCTTCTTCTTTCTTTTTCACACTTTTTCATTGTTCCTTCGACTCTTTGTCTTGAAAATCTCGGCACACCTTAACGATTTCCTGTCGCCTTCCCATTCCACAAAGGCATTGGATACTGCTACTAAATGGTTTTTCCTCTTTCTACGACGTACTGAGCTCGGCTACGATGTCCAGAAGTTTATCGATTACTCGAGCAGATCAAGACCGAACCCTGGAGGGGGTGTGGATCAGGAGCGGAACAGTTTAGTAAATATGTGGACTGTAAACTCGTTTCTCGTTTACTTTCACTTATAAGAGTATTCTTCCATTTGAAAGAGATTTTCGAACGAGTTTCTTTAATGGACTAAGGAGAATTGACTAGTCTGTAAGAAAAGAAATTAAATAACGCACGAGCCTCCTCCCCTTTCCTCCTCCTCCTGCTCCTCTTCTAATTTCTTCTCCTCTTCCTCCTCCCCTTCTCATTCATCCCTTTTCCCTTCCTCCTTTTCCTCCTCTTCCTTCTCCTCCTCCTGGTGCTCCTCTTACTCCTTCGCATTTCCCATCGTTCTTCGTGTGATTTTTGCTTATTTTTGTCATGCTTCGTTCAAGTTTACTTTCTGATTTCCAGCAATTCGTTCTTCATCTACGTTCGCCAACAACACCACGATTGCCCAGAAATGGTGGATGCACTCGAATTTGGCGATGTTTTCACCGAAGACATGGGCGTACTGGTAAGCGCCTTTGGAAGCGTCGAGACTCTTGTTATACTAAAATTTCTTGTTTTTGTGTTTTTAGTGCTTCTTTACAGTGTTATGATGTTCCAACTATACCTGAGGGAATTGAGTGATGAGCAAAAATTTGACGTCAGGCGGGAGTTGAACCCGAATTTTATCCAGAGCGGGTACGCATGCTAGCACTGCACCACAGAGGCCACCGCTGACTCATCGCTCATGTCATTTTTGCTTAGCACTCAATTTTTTCAGGTATATTTGAAGCTCATAATACTTGGTAGAATAAGTATTTGTCCTTCTGACCCTATTTCCAGTCGCTGAGAAAATATTTGTCATTTTTTTTTTGTGTTCCGCAGAAATGCACCTAGAAATGGTCATCATCAACATTATTTTTACTGCTTTCTAGCAGCTATGACGTTATAAATATACGCCACGATTATTGAGTGGCATGCAAAGCATCAAATGGGCAACTCCATGGTTTTGATCCATTGAGTGCATGCGGCGCAGTGGGTAGAGGTGCCCTGCGTCGCACACGAGGTCAGTGGTTCGATCTCGCGCTCATAGTTCACCAGGCCATCCATCCCTCCGGGGTCGGTAAAGTGGTACGAGACAGGTCTCAGACTTGTCTGGGAGGATAAGCAGCACTGACTCGGTTCAACGAGAGGCCTCCGCGAGTCAGTATAAAGGCCAGATATGCATTCAATCACCTCAAACGAAGTTAAAAATTGAAGTCGAATGCATGGCGCATCCCTCGGGGATTGATCAGCGCCGAGAGCTTTATCCTTTATCATTTATTTATGCAAAGCATTCCATTCCAGGCGGGAGTTGAACCGGCGTTTCAGCTTAGCCGTAGGCGTGTGGCCTACCACTGCACGACCGAAGCCGTTCCTTTCCGACCCCTTTTTTTTACGGGAATGGGTGAAACGCGGGCCCAATTCCTGCCTGGAGTTGGATGTTTTCCATACCACTCAGTGTCTTAGATATTCCTCTTTGCGGACCACCAGGGTGATTATGACGCTCAAAATCTTGGAGGTCTTTCTTCGATGGGCCAAGCCTTTTATTTAGAATTTTAAGCAGTCATTCGAAAACTTAAGTATTGAGGATTCCGATGCTTTGCTTAGCCTTCAGAAAGACCTTTGTAATACGCTCTAGCATCAAAAATAAAATTGTGTTTCACACTCGATTTGTCTTCTTTGCTCAACCGAAGTCTCTGGTTTCCTTTGTTATTGGACTATTTTGAGCTCATTCGATAGCCCAGATTTCGATGAAGTTGAAACTTAAATGACTCATGAAAAGGTTGTCATAGCGCAGTGTGAGAGCGACAATAAAATTACGTTTCACATGCGGAGTCTTCTTTGCACGTAAGAGTTATGTACGCCAAAAAGTATACCAGCTTATAAAGAAAATCATTTTCCATAAGAATGTACAATTGAACCTAAAGTATCTCCTCAAAGGAGGGAAAAATCTCTGTTGGAGAACGAAAATCGCGCGCTACTGACGATTTCAATTGTGCTGCTGTCCGCAAAGGGGTCTAATCGTTGAAATTTCTCTGTTGGTCACCGTTAAATCCTTACTTAAGTGTTGTTTGTAAGCACAAATTTAGAATCATGGACGTATGAAGATTGCCGAGTCGATGATTCAATTCAAAAATGAGAAGACTGGAAAATTGAACTCTGTCAATGCCTCCGATCTCGAGGGTCTCAATTGGCAACGTCTCGGAAACCGACCAGGAATCAAACTGCGGTTCAAAGATGGGAAGAAAATCCGTTTTGGAGGGTTTAAAGACTCTGTAGGTGGCTTTGAACTAATTTACAGTGGCGTGATCGTTGTGTTTCATGGATTTTTTTCTCGTAGTTTTCAGGATTTGGAGAAGATAAAGCAATTCGCTCAGCAGAATTGGCATAAAGAAGTGGAACAGAACGACCTAGTGTTGAAAGGATGGAACTATGGCAGTTGTCAAGTGGAAGGTGCGTTTTACTCCTGTGTTCCATTGAGATTTAATAGCTTAGGTATCAAATATTTCTAGATGTAAAGTGATTTAGGTCAGTCTATCGAGTTACATTAGACAACAAGCCTGTCTTCGAGGTTCCTCTGTCGAATGTCGCTAATTGCGTGGGGAATAAGAGTGAAGCGACACTTGAATTCCATCAGGTCTGGATCAGGATCTCTTGGAGTAATCATGGATCTCTTCATGTCGTGTTGACATGGATTTCTTATAGAATGATGATTGTCCAACCTCACTCATTGAAATGCGCTTTCACATGCCAGCAGACGTAGACGACGAAGAGTCCGACCCAGTGGAGGTCTTCAATTTTTTAGTGAAAATGCTTTGTTTTTCCTCTGTTGAAACATCTTATTCTTTATGATTCGTATTGACAGGAGTTTCGTAAAGCGGTCATGGCGTTTGCCGGAATCGAAACCGAGACTGGACAACCGGTGGCATCGCTACAACAGATCCTTTGCACTACTCCCCGGTAAGCTTACGATTGCTATTGTATCCTATTTGATCTTATATATGTCATGGAAGACGTTAGGAAAAGTGGTTGAGCACTTTGAGATAAAATGAATCATATGAATTTTTTCTTCTTTTCAATCTAAGGGGAGCACATATAGGGCAGTGGTTAAAAGTGTCCTGCGTCGCATACAAGGTCGATGATTCGGTCTCGCGCTCATGGGTCACCAAGCTTTCTATCTTTGCGATGTCGGTAAAATTGGTACCAGATATCTCTGGTAGGATAAGCAACACTGACTCGACACATCGATAGGACACCACAGTCATTGTAAAGCTAGATGTGCATTCATTCACGTCAAACGGAGCTAAAAATTAATTACGAATGCATGGCACATTCCTCAAGGGTTGTGGTCAACGCTGAGAGCTCTATCCTTTATCCTTTTCGATCTTGTTTCATATGAAACGAGAAACCAGTTTGAATCTTTTCTTTTGAGTTAAGCTTGAATATGTGGTTCTTTCAGTGGACGCTACGATATCAAAGTGTTTTCCAAATCATCTTTCTCTTCATGGAAAGACGTATGACTACAAAATTCCGATCAAGACTATAATGCGTCTTTTCCTTGTTCCACACAAAGATGGCAGACACGTGTATTTTGTTGTAAGTAAAACATATTCACAACTTATGTAGGTCAACTTGAAATAGTCGTTAAATCTT